GTGTCCCCAGGGAACTCGATGCTGCTCCGTGTGCTGCCCGCGCTCTACGAGCAGCAGCCGCGGCCGATCGCGCTCCGGCTGCGGGACCTGCTGGCACTGACGGCCCAGCTGGACCAGGCAGAGCAGCTCCACCTCCTCAGGCTCCTCCAGGCCGTGGCCAGGAACAGAGAACTCGGGGTAAGCACCTTGGGGGTGGCTCACTGCCCCCCTTCTGCAGGGCTGTTGTGTTCAGATGGCTCGGTGAGGTCTGTGCCAGCAGCGAGCCGTCCTCACAACATGCAGGCAGTGACTTCCCATGCTACTTCCACGGAATTCTGTGATTCCATTCCAAGTTCTCCATCTAGTCATAAGGAGAACATAACAGCGACGCTGCTGGACCAAAAGGTTTGGGTTAAACCATTTGTTTTCAATGATTTTGGCTCTTCCTCTGCCATGGGAGTGTGAATTCCCATAACTGTGTTTCTGTCAGAGGACATGAGCTGTATTGAAATACATGTCAAGGGAGATTAAAATGAGTTAGGAACTGATGAGAACTGATAATCCTCAACAAGGAAAACCAGAAGAATGGGTTGTTTTATGCCCCACTTCTGTGTCAAAATGTCTTTCACACAGATGCAGGTCCCATTGGATCTGAGGTGCATTAGTGTGCATGTGTGTTTACACAAGAATTAATTACTCAGTGCAGAGTTGTAAACACTCCATCCTGTTTGTAAGATGATTTTAAGCCTCGGCCTCCCCAAAACTGGGTTCTTACAAGAAATGACAGCTCACCCATAGCATGTTTTTTAGGCAGTGAGGATCTTGCCCTTAGTTTTCCCCTCTGTTCCAGCTCTTGACCTTTAGTTTCCTATGGAAAAAAAATTTCTACAAGTCCTTTAATTTACTGTATCATTGGGGAAGGCTGAGTCTTCTGTTGTTTTAATCAATAAAATATAGTCTGACCTGGAGGGAGGGAAATATAAGGATGGGATTTTGATCTTTTTTTTGAACAATTGGCCATTTCCTCACTTATTTATGCATAACTGCCATATTTCAAGGCTAAAACTTACCCTTATTCCATATGTTGAACTGAACTTGGGTTGACCCCTGTGCAAAGGTCAGCAAGGCTGGAAAACTATTTTATTGAATCAAAGTCTAGTGGTTTATTTTTATCACTCCAGTTACATCTCTCTTGGTTATTTGTGTTCCCAATTAAAAATATATATATTCAGTTTGTTTCTGTCTGATTTTTTTAATAGGTGCTGACAGAGTGTTTACCCTTTTTATTTGGGCATTTGAGGGACCCCAACCACAGTGACTTGATTCTAAACATCCTCATAGAAATATCCAGCTACGAACCAACAGCCTTGGCCCCTTTTCTGCCGACGCTGAAGGAGGTTGGGGAGAGTTTTCCAGGTCTGATTGGGCAAACAGCAAAGATCTTTGGAGCTGTTGGGCACATTGATGAGGTGAGTTTGGAAACAAAGGTTGGTTTGGGGGTTGTTCTTTTCTGAATCCTGGGTAAAATGATACATCTAAATATGTCTTTCTTCACAAGTAGCCAGACTGCCCTACCAGGGCACAGACTCATGGAATGGTTTGGGTTGGAGAGACCTTAAAGCCCATCCAGTCCCACCCCCTGCCATGGGCAGGGACACCTTCCACTAGCCCAGGTTGCTCCAAGCCCTGTCCAACCTGGCCTTGGACACTTCCAGGGCTGGGGCAGCCACAGCTTCTCTGGGCAACCTGTGCCAGGGCCTCCCCACCCTCACAGCCAGGAATTCCTTCCCAATATCCCACCTAACCCTACTCTCTGTCAGTCTGAAGCCATTCCCTGTGTCCTGTCCCTCCAGGCCTTTGTGAGAAGGTGTTTAGTCACAGACAACACTGGGGGTTCATCAGTGTTGGAGAATCCCCAGGGAAACCTTTGTCCCCAGAGAAAACAGTTTCTTTTGGCCCCTTTTCAAAGCCATTCCCTTAAATCCTGGGGCTGGGAGTTGGTGGCTGGCTCTGTGCCTGTGCCACAGCTCAGCTGGCACACAGGGATGTCACACAACTCTTCCCTCGTTGCCATAAGGCCCATCCTTCCCTTTGGATCTCACTTTGGGTGTGTATTGGCCAGGCCGTGGGGGTCTGTTCACTGTGGGTGCAGCACAGGGAGACACTTCCCTTGCTGTTTCTACTGATCTTGAGCCTTATGTTCATTTAAAATTAAATTTATCTCATAAGAATCAAAACCAGATTTGGTTTGGCTTTGTAAATCTCATTTCTGTTGTGGGGGGGAAAGCCAAAATCCTATGGAACACTGAGAGCCAAATACAGCTTGTTGTTGTCTCCTTGTTTACTTCCATCCCCCCAGCAAGTCTGACTTTTACAAGAGCTGCAGGTGACCATGTTCAATTCTGCATTTAATATTTAGGAGTCAGCATCTCCTAGAAGCTTTACAGTTTATAAGCAGCTAAGCCTGAGCTGAGCACAGCTGGGATCAGAACTGAGGGATTTAATTCTGTGTTTTAGTGTGTTGAACCAGCTCTTCCCATCTGAGTGTCTCTGAGGCTCCATTTCTGCTGTGTTTGTTACTTCAAAGGGGCTGAGTTTATTTATTTTGCCTTTTGTTGTTGTTATTGTTTTATACCAATACCAAGAATAAGCAGGGAACCCACTGACCAGGTTGTATTTCATATATTATTGGAAATTGTAGCCTGAGGTAAAGTTTACAAAGACTAGATTTGAAGAATCTTTTCTCCTTATATTTTTAATCTGTTGGTTTATGTGGGTACACGTAGTACTACAGATGGGTAATTCATCTGTAGTAAGTGTTGAGTAGCTGGCACTGTGTCCTGGGTCTTATTTTTGTAGGGAGCTGCTGACTCAGCAGCAGGCTGCAATTCCAGTGCCACATGTCCAGGGGAATGGCACCTTGTCCTGTGTGTGCAGGGACACCCAGGGGACCTTGCACTTGAGACTTGAGAACATGGAGCAAAGCAGCAGGCAAAGGGTGGCAGAGGGGAACGTTCCAACAGGGGACAAATGGCTCCCCTCGTGTTTTGCTTCCTGAAAAGATAGAAGTCATAGATATCTCTGAATTATGGAACATCATAAAATCCTAGAGTGGTTTGAGTTGGAAAGGACTTTAAAGCTCTTCCCACTCCATCCCTCGATGGTGTTGGAGAGCTCTTCCAGCCTGGGAGATCTGATGATTCTGTGGTCTCACCTGTCCTCAGGAATCAGCCTTGGAGGCATTTCTTTCTCCTTTAAGAGGAGATGATTCTTTGTCAAAGCCAGGTTGGACAGGGCTTGGAGCAACCTGGTCTAAGGAAGGTTTCCCTGCCCGTGGCAGGGGGTGGAATGGGATGATCTTTAAGGTCCCTTCCAGCCCAAACTATCCTGTGACTCTGTGATGGAAAGGAAAACCAGTGCCATGGATCTCTGGCGCTGCAGGGCAGGCAGCCAGCCTGCCAGCAGAGAAGCACAACCACATCTGGCATCATAAAAGCTGGGCAGATCTTAGAGGCTCCCGTGGAGCAATGAGAATGAATTAAAAGGATACTCTGATCTCCAGTGTCACTGCAAAGCTCAGTCACTGCTGCACTTTGTTTGTCCCGCTCAGGGGAAGCAGCAGAGCAGTCCCTGCACACACAAGTGCTGCTGCTGCTCTCGTGTCTCAGCCCCCCGTGCCAGTGCCTTCTGAAACCCTCCTGCTCACTCCTGCCCCTCTCCCCTTCCCTGTCCCGGGGCTGTGCCACAGGAATGCTGCTCGTTCTGAGGCGTGACTCGGCATCTCCCTCCCGGCCAAGCCAAACAAGCGGGGAAGGGAACAGCGATGGCAGTGCTGGAATTTTATTTGCTGATGTTTCACTTCACTGGAAGGTCTGCTTGGGGAAGAGAGGTGGCAAGGATCGAGGCTTGGCCCTCTGTGGTATGGATTGTGGGTGTGAGCAGCAAATCCTTTCTGCTGGCTCCCAAAAACAACCTCTTGTGCTGCCCCCGAGCCGCTCTGTCCACGTTGGCAGTGCCGAGGGACCCCTGGAGAGATGAGAGCTCTGGCTGAAGAGAGATGCCTTTATTCTAAAGGTTGCCCCTTGTTAACACCCCCCACTTCTGCTGATGTCAGTGACAGTCTCAGGGGTGAAGCTGAAATCAGAACTTGTCCCTTAACCGTGAATTTGTGCAAAGCAAAACACCATCTTGGGGCAGAGGGCAATTGGACATTTTAATGTATTTTTTCTCCCATTAACTGTGTGTTTTGAACCAACTGAGAGTTTTAACCGACTTCTGAAAGCCTTGTGATGTCTTTTTGTAGTCTCCTGAGCCTGATTTTAAGCTAAAGCGTAACACTTTGCCACACCTCATCACTTGTATTTTAGATCTTCACCTTCTGGCAGATGTAATGCCGTAAAATGCAAGGGCTGCTTATGAAAAAAACACATGAATACATCAAATAAGCCCTGTTAAAATCACAACGGGCTCTGTACATCCAAATAGGCTTTTTGAAGAATTTTGGATAAGAATTGGGGCAGGGATAATGACTGCTTTCATGTTGAGCTATTTTGCTGTAATTTTGTTTTGTATAACAGTTACATATTATGTTACTCAGAGTTTATTGTTCTTTTACCTCACTCCAGGCGAGTAGCAGCATTTCAGCGAGGCTGGAGACACTCCAGCTGGATCAAAGTGACAGGAAAATGGTCAAAAACTGCTCCTCCAGTTTGTCTGCTGCACAGTTTGTTTAGGAAACAAAAAATGTGTTTTAAATGTTAATTGAGCCTGTGTTTATCTCTTGGGGGGAGGGTTGTCTTTCAAATAAAAGTCAACCTCTTTCAAGCCACCGAGGAAAAAGCTCCTTCAGTCACATCAGCCCAGCCCGAGGTGTAGCTGGACCTTCCCCCCCCCCTTGGCTGAAGGGAAGCAGTTTGTCCAATGCTCTTTTCCCATTTATCCAGGGTTTCCCTGAGCAAAACCATACCTGGCTACCCAGCAGAGGATCTGATGTGAGTTCCTGAGTTAATTGCTGGTTTCTTCACTGCTTTTTTAGGTATTTTTAGGGCTGTGGAACTTAATGTACTTAGAACCACTACAACAAAACAGGGGAGCCCTGATCTGGAGGTGCTCAAGGTCAAGCTGGATGTTCCCTATCCCTGGAGCAACCTGGTCTGTGGAAGGTGTCCCTGCCCATGGCAGGGGGTGGAACAAGATGAGCTTTAAGGTCCTTCCAACCCAAACCATTCCATGATTTTCACCTTCAAACTTCTGGTTTAGGATGGGAATTTGGACACGTACACACAGAAACAGCTGGCACTGGAGCTGTGTGTCCTGGCCAGGCAGAGATGATAAAGTGTCTCTGCTAGAAAATATTTATGTGTTTAATGTTATGATCTGAAACAAGCCCCCTTTAATCCTGATTTGCGGGGGATGTGATCTCTGCTGATAAACTGGGGAAAGCACATTGCCCCGAAGAATTGGGTGGGAACATTTTGGCTGCAGAGGGCACATCAGACTCCAGGGCATTGGCAGTGACTGACAGCCCATGCCAGGCAGCGTGTGAGGACATCTTAGAATGAAATCTCAATTTAAACTTCTCTTTGTTGTGCTGTCAGTCACAGCTCTAAGCTGAGTGTTGCTCCTAAACTAAATGCTGTGGAAGGGGAGAACCCCTGTGATTTATGAGGTCCTTTAACCTCTCACCATTAGGGAGAGGAGATGCTGACAGGACCCCAGCTCCTGCCCCTCACTGCTCTGCCCCCTGTGCTGGAGGAGCCCCGTTCTCTGTGGGCAGCACTGGTGACAACAGACCCTAGGGTGACAATGCTAAATGTCAGCAGCACCCAACAGGCCCAGAAAGGAGTCCAGAAAATCATAAAATCCCAGACTGGTTTGGGTTGGAAGGGACCTTACAGCTCATCCACGCTTGACGCTTCCAGGGATGGGGCAACCACAGCTTCACCTCCCTACACTCTTTTTCTGTGCCTTTCTCTTTTCAAGACCAGGTTGGATGGGGTTTGGAGCAACCTGGTCCAGTGGAAGGTGTCCCTGCCCATGGCAGGGGGTGGCACTGGGTGGGCTGTGAGGTCCCTCCCAACCCAAACCATTCTGTGATTCGATGAAGTAGCTGAGCCAGGCTCAGCACAGATGAAAGGGGAGCTCAGTGCTGCTGGTGCCCTGAGCCAGGCTGACCTACCAACTAGAAGAATGTAGGGCCCTTCAAAGGGCCTTTAGGGACTCTGGCTCGAGGTCTGAGGAGGAGACAAGATGTACTGAGTTAGGCTGGGTTAGGTAATACCAAGAGGAACAAAAGTCACGTAGCAGCACACACAGATAAACTGTGTTTGAGGCACAGTTGGTTATCGTGGGGCAGCCACTCTTCCCCAGGGACAGTGACTCAGGCAGCACCACACAAACCTCCCTGCACAAGCAAACACTGAATTAATGTGTTTAAAACTCTTCTTATCTCCCCGTGTTGCCCAGGAGAGAGCCAGGACCTGCCTGCTGTACTTGGTGAACCAGCTGGCCAACATGGAGCACTCATTTCACCATATTCTGCTGCTGGAAATTAAGAGCCTCACCGACACCTTCTCGAGCATCCTGGGCCCCCAGAGCAGGGACATTTACCGCATGAGCAACAGCTTCACTGCCATAGCCAAGCTCCTCGTCCGGCAGCTCGAGGCTGACAGCACACCAGGAGCCAGGTAGTGTTTGTGTGACAAAGCCCCTTCAGGGCCGTGTGAGGCAGCATAAATTCATATTAAATCTATCCTAATTGCCATGAAAAAAGCCACAACTCAGATAAGCCCAGTCAAAAATCGACCAGGGAAGTCGGCCCACACAATTATCGTTGAGTTTTTCTAGAAAATACCCACTGAGGGTGATGAGAACAATGACTGGCTTAACTCCCTGGTAAAGGTTTGCCTAAGAACAGGCTGGAAAAAATTTCTCAGGCATCTACAAAGAGATGTTCTGCTCATTCAGCTGCTTCTGAGTGTGTATCCTAAGGTTGGAGGGTTGGGAGCGTTGCAGCGTTCCTCAGGGTGAGAATATAGGTGTTATTTAAATACACGGTGGTAGTCACTTTTAATTAGTGAAGGACTCATAATTAGAGTTGTGTATGCTGACACAGGTCACGAGGGCACAAAGGAATAGTGATTCTGTGGAAAAATGTAACCCAGATGTCAGAAAAGCCATAACCATGAAGGACAGCCTTGGAGCCAGGCTGGGAGCGCCGGAGCCAAAACACTGAGGTCATTGGAGAAACAAGTAATTGGTGTCCTGGAGAGAGTTAAAAATGAAAAAGGAACCAGGAGAGAGTGCCTCCCTTTACTGCAGGACTGTGAGAAGTGTCCAAACTTCACCTGGTGGGAAAGCCCTCCATGGAAACGAGCCCTCGGCACTCGTTTATGAAAAATATCCTTGGAGATAATGCCAAAGCCAAGTGGAGATAACAGAGTGAGCATGAAACAACACACTTGTTCCAAACTAGCCAAGTTTACTGGAAAAAAGAGGCAGCCAGATGTCACTTGGTGAAGGGACCAGAGGGATGTCATGTATTCTGGGAACTGCAGAGGAGCAGGACAGGGATTGAGGCCCAGTAATAATTTATACAACCCATTACGGTCCCTCAATTTATGGCTGAAAAATTACTTTATTTGTTAAAATATTCCCATATTCCTACTCCTTATTATCTTCTGTGCTTAACATTTATCTGTAGAGCTGATAAAAAAAAAACACTTAAAAACAAGAGAAGGTTTTCATTAAAACCTTGCTGTGTTTCCCTGTTTCTCTCTAAAATCCCCTTTGTTAAGGACTTGCTTTGCCAAGGAGAAGAAGCTTCATCGTCTTCATGAGTGTGCTTACAGATGATTTTTTTATTCTCCATCTCTCCCTGATTTTATTTACTTATTTACTGATTTTAAATTTTATTCCCTCCTCAGCCCTCTTGCTCCTTGTGTTGTCTCAACGTGTCTGGGAGAGATCACAGCAAACCCCCGATTTTTCACAGTTACAGTTTTTAGCTCTTTGGTTTTATGTTTCAGGCCTGTGTGGAGCAAAGGATCAGCTCAATCAGACAAGGCTAAAATGAGAGTTCTCTGCTGATTTAAGCTGAGTTTACTCTGATTTGTGCCTGGTGAGTGGGACTGGTCCAGATGTTGGCATGGAAATGCCCTCCCAGCTCTGGAGCTGCTGCAGCCACTGAACTCAGAGGTTTATAAGGAGCAGCAATCCAGAGTATTTGTGCTGCGAAGGGGAAATAGGGTTTTAAAATGTGTGGCTGGATTATAACCATTCCTCCCAAAACTCGGGTGTTTACATAAGAGGAAGCTGATTCCTTTGGAGCCACGGTTGGCTCGGGGTTGTTTGACCCAGGGAATTTTACATGCAGGGAGTGCAGAGCATAATTAAAACCAGGCCATGCTCTGGTGCCCCTTACTGTCACAAAATTGCAAGTTATTCAGCCTCAGAGGTGCTTTTTAAGAACATATAGAGTTTTAATGGACTTATCCAGCCTAGGAGTGTAGTGTAGTCAATTAAAAAAAGGCAAGGAAGGAAATTTGGAGACACTTCCAAGCCCTGGATCTGGGTAAGAACTGAGCACACCTGGCTCCACCAATGCTGCCCATCTCAGTGTCGTGGCTGCATGAAATTACCTTTTAAACTGAAAGAGGAGAGATTTAGATTAGATACAAGGAAGAAGTTCTTTACTCAGAGGGTGGGGAGGCCCTGGCACAGGTTGCCCAGAGAAGCTGTGGCTGCCCCTGGATCCCTGGAAGTGTCCAAGGCCAGGTTGGACAGGGCTTGGAGCAATCTGGGCTAGTGGGAGGTGTCCCTGCCCATGGCAGGAGGTGGCACTGGGTGGGCTTTAATGTCTTTCCAACCCAAACCAATCTGATCATTCCATGATCTTTTCTCCACCACTTGCCTTCTTCAAACCTCTGTCCTGCCTGAGGGGGTGATCAGTGATTATGTCTGTCCAGTGGCAAACCACAAGGACCCACAATTAACCCATTCTTGCTGCCTCCATCCCCTCAGAGGTGAAGCCCTGGCAGCAACTAGGGCTTGGTTAAAATACACCTCGAGTGTATTTTTAGCCATCTCTGTGATGCTCTTTTTCCCTAAAACTCAATTTCTGATGCTGATAATTGTCTGGAGAAATGTCCTTCCTATCCTTCATACACATGTACCACCCTTGAACTGGTGACCTGTGCACTGGGCTCTCTCTGCACGTGGAATCTCAAAGCCTGAAGTGATGAGCAGCCTGGAGCCATCTCTCAGGGCAGGTCATTGTGGTTCCCCCATAAGCTCGTGCATCTTGAAAACAGGCTGAGCTTGGGTGTAAACTGATCCTGCTCAGCAACCTCAGCAATGTCCCCAAAGCCTCCTGCCAAGATTTCAAACAATGGTTTGTTTTGCAGGGGCTGGGAGGGGGCCCAGCAGGAAGGGCTGCCAGGCCCCCCCCTCTGAACATCCTGCTTGGGGCTGGTGCTCGTGGCTTCCCCAGGGATTGGTGGGAGAGCAGAGCTGGCACACGTGAGAGCAGATGGTCCCCAGGGATGGGCACTCGGGATCCCTCCTGCTCCCCTGCTCCGAAATCCTGGGCACCAACAGGGTCAAAAACCAGGTGGTGGCTTGAGGAGCACCAGGCAGTGAGAACTGCACCCTCCACACCCTGAGGAGTGACTTCTTTCTGCTCCACATGTGGAAAGTAGGATTCATTAACATGTTTCTCTGAGGTCTTTTCCAACCTTAACAATTCCATGATCCTTTAGGAGAAGTATTTCCTTGTATTCCCTTCCCGAAGCCATCGGAGCCCAACAGGAGAACACTGGACAAAGAGAGGTGCTGTTCTAAAACACCATTTTTGTTTCCAAACTTCATCAAGGCTTCCTGGTTTGGGTCTGTCATTCACAACCCCCCCCAGTCCATCAATCCCCTCTCTGTGAGCAGAGGCTTTCCATGTATTTCCATATGGAACAGACGTTTTCCTTAGTGCTCAGCTCCCACAATGGGAGCAGTGTTGGGAGTCCTGTTGGAGTGACAGCTTCCCCATAAATTAAATCTTGTCCTACATCCCCAGAAAGATTTGTTAGCAAAGGTCGTATCAAGGTTCTTTATTACAGAAGAATATTTTTAAAGTGCTCCTCGGTGTTAATATATTACGAGATCTTGCTTAAATTAAAAACAAGACAAAACTCGCCAGCTCCCCTGAGAAATATCCTGAGCTGCCTTTATCAAAACAAATGAAAAAGTGCATTTTGTGCTGCAGTATTTCTGGTTGTTTCTTTAAAAACAGGCTTTGTACAATTGGTAATTTGCAGTTTGGGGAGTTTTTAATGGGCCCCCCGACTGTGAGCGTGACTTGTTGAGGCTCTGCTGCTTTGGAAGTGCTGTGTTAAAACTCTCATTTGTGGTTTTATATATCCAGATTTTACAGATTTAGCTATTCAGATGTTTGTTCATCAGGAAACATACAAAAAAAAAAAAAAAAGAGAAAATCAAACAAAGAAATGATCAGAAACAAAACAAACTTTGTTTAAAGCTGTGGGTAGAGTTTAAAAAGTAAATACTGTCCAGGACCCCTTAGTTCTCTAAAATTCCTCTAGTTAGAGGGTGGAGGGGCCCTGGCACAGGTTGCCCAGAGAAGCTGTGGCTGTTCCTGGATCCCTGGAAGTGTCCAAGGCCAGGTTGGACAGGGCTTGGAGCAACCTGGGCTGGTGGGAGGTGTCCCTGCCCATGGCAGGAGGTGGCACTGG